TGTACTCATTTATTTATTCAAGTTCAGCTTCTGGAACTTCTAAATACATTAGAAACTATGCTAGACCTAACAATGGCAATGCATGCCTTTCTCCCATACTCCTCTGGTCTTCCTTAACCCCCAGCTCTTTGATCTTCACAGGGCCCTTTCTGGTCACTTGACTCATTTCCAAGATCCAAATGATAGGCACCACCAAAACAAAATCTCTTCATTGTATTCTATTCTAGAAGAGACTGAATCATTTCTTGTCAAGAAATAAAGGGAATAATAACATAGGCGAGATAATGGTGCATCTGTCCTTCAAGGACAATTTCTTTATCATGTTATGGATACAAAATACTCTCCTTGAATTGTGTCTCACTTATAATTTATATGGTTTCCAATTCTGTTTCATTACAGAAATAAGATAATTTGACCAAAATTTGGAGAAAAAAAACCTCCTTAATAGTAAGGAGCAATCACAGGTTTTGTTTATGACCTTCCTAGTTTCTTTCTCTAATCTTTTTACATTAAAGCCCACGAATATGGTTGAATTTCCCACATAAATTTTTACTCAGTGTATGTGTTGCTGAAATGCCACAATTTTTGAGAAAGATTAATTGCTTTTGATTTCAAAAACATTTATCCCTCATTTTATATCCATAAGCATTTGTCCAAGATAAGATTTTCTATTTTCTTATGTTTGCTCAGTCAATTCACTCAGCTTATCAAGCGTTTGCTTTGTTGCTCTTAAATTTCTGTTTGTATGCTCTGAAACACTAAAATATGAGAATAAAACAATATATTTGCTAAGGTCAACACACAAAGGACTAATCCAGAGATTCTACTATTATTGTGCCATGTTTTATGTTATTAAGGGTAAAATTCTCAGCCCAATCTGTGAGTTATAATCCTTCTTACATACAAATTTATGTTGCTGAAGGAAGAATAAAAAAAGTAATAAATGTTTTTTCTTTATTGTCTAACATTCAAATTCATGAGACTGGCAGAAAGGTAGAAAGTGATTTAGAAAATCATATAACACAAGCAAATAAAGAGAAGAAATTTCATTTTTAAAATTTATTGTGTTTTAATGTTAGTTATTAACAATCCCAAATACATGTCATTATGTTTACTAGACTGTAATCATCTCTCTAGAGAGTTAAATTTGATTGACTCATTCTGTGCATCTGCATCTGCTCTTTGTTGGTCATTAGGGAAGATGAAGACAATGTTTGCTCCATCCTTCTAAATACCCAAGGTCCACCCACAGTCCCACACTAGTCACTGAACATCCCTTGGTTATTGACTTATCCAAACTGCTTTCTCTCCCACCCCATCTCCTAATAAATTATACAGGCCCTTGTTCAACCACTTTGGAAAGCAGTATGGAGGTTCCTCAAAAGACTTCACATAGAACTCCCCTATGACCCAGCAATCCCACTTTTGGGCATTTACCCAAATGTTTACAAACAAGACCACATTAAAGCTACCAGCACAACTATGTTCATTGCAGCATTATTTACCATAGCTAAGATCTGGAACCAACCCAGATGCCCCTCAGTAGATGAATGAATCAAGAAAATGTGGTATATATACACAATGGAATTCTATGCCTCCATCAGAAAGAATGACATTTCCCCATTTGTTAGGAAATGGAAAGGCTTGGAAAAAATTATATTAAGTGAAGTAAGCCAGGCCCAAAGAAACATAGGTCCCATGGTTTCCCTTATTTGCAATATCTAGTATATGTATGAGTCAAGCAGAAAAGGTCAGATAATGTGATGTTAGGAAAACGAACCCTTAAATATGTATTTTAATGTTTTTTTTTCTTTCATGCATGTGTTTCTAACGCATTTATAAGATTATTTCTTTGTAGCTTTGTATGTCCCTCCCCCACAGTGTAACCCCCGCTTTCACTATATTTGATGTCAGTATAACTTGTGGAGGAGATGGGGACAAACAAGTCGTTTAAGGATTCAGGTGGACCTGTTGCAACAATGAGAAGTACAAAATGTCATGTCAAAAACGAGCTTTACAATGTCGGTGGGTGGGGAGGAGGGGGGGAAGGGTTGGGTGGGGGGGAGGGGGGGAGGCTGGGAAGGGAGGTGAAGGGTAAACAAAGGAGGAGGCTGCAATGCTTGGTAAGAAATGTATGCATTATCCTGCCCATGTAATTGTAACCCCTCTGTACAGTATGTTCTCAAATAAAATAAAATAATATTAAAAAAATTATACAGGCCCATATGCCATTCTTTTGGTATTGTTTTATTGTTATGCTAAGCTGATAAAATCAATTATCAAAATTGTTTGACATTTTACTGTTAATATGCAGAACTTTGTGGTCCATTCATAGAAATCTAAAGTCAAAAGTGCTGATGACTGCTAAACTTTTCCCTCTGAGAACTTTGACAATCAACAACAGAAGAAAGAAAAAAGAAAGAAAAATAAGTCCTGCAACAACATCCCAGAAAGAATAGTCTTTTCATCTGTAGAGAGGAATTAATGAGGTCCTTTTTTAGGTGTGCTAGTGGTTGGAACTGCAAGCAGCTTTGCCAGTTTGATATAGTATATTTATCAAAAGGCCCCAAAAGACTAGGCATGCCATATGGATTTAAGTAATTGCTTGTTTTAATAGATTACTAAAATCCCTCTAAGTATCACTTAGCAACTTCTAGATTCTAAGTAACTTCCCAGAAAAAGGGTACCAGACTCAATCTAGTTCTCACTCTTGCTGAAGTGAAAACAAAAAGCAAACCAAAAAAAATCCTTCAAGCCAGCCACAGGCACCAGTGGCTCACAAATGTAATCCTCACTCAGGAGAATAAGATCTATAGAATTTAAGCCAGCCTGGAGCAGAAGAGTCCACAAGATTCCATCTCCAAAATAGAGAGTGAATTGCTGTGCTAGAGTTGTGGTAGCTGTAGAAAGCAAACCAAGAAAGCATGAGGCCCTGAGATGAGTGTCCAGAATCTAAAAATAATAATTATTAATATAAACTCAAACAAGCAAACATTCATCACACACACACACACACACACACACACACACACACACACACACACACACACACACACACACACACACATGTTCTCAGGCCTTGAACTCAGAACTTGGGTGCTGTACCTGAGCTTTTGTGCTTAAGGCAAATGCTCTACCACTTGAGCTACAGTTCTACTTCTGACTGTTTGGGGGCATTTAATTAGACGTCAGAGTCTCATGAATTTTCCTGTTCAAGCTGGGTTTTAAACTATCATCCTCAGATCTCAGCCTTCTGAGTAGATAGGATTATAAGCACGAACCACCCCAACAACAACATGGCTTCTTTTTCACCGTTTTATTATAAATGAGGTCAGAAATACACAGTTTGGTTTCCTGCAAAAGCCTTGTGAATCTTTCCACTTAAAGATGCACAGCCCAGGTCATGTTTCTCTGTCATTTGTTCCTACTAGAAAGATTGAGCAGAAGGTCTGGAGAAACAAGATACCAGGCTGTGGATAATGATCAATAGTCCCTATAGCAAGAAAAAAGGAAAAATGTGGAAGCAAACCTCAACCTTTCCAGGTATCTCATTCAACATCATCCAGTCCTGGGACATCCTTGGACTCCATCCAGCATGGCAGCTGTGACTCTCAAAGCTATGGATTGATGCTGGCAATGAAATTCTCGACAAGATATTTTTCTGCCATATGTTTGGGGAGAGCCCAGGGCATTAGGCTTTGAGTGACAATGTAATTTGATGGTTTAAGAGTATCTTAGCCATATTTCCGTACAGAATCTTCATCTTGGGATATCAACACTTTTAAATCTCCTTCTGAAATGTATTTACTTAATCAAACTATTAATTACCTAGTTCTGTCTTAATCAAATTATCTTGCTGGGATTCTGGTATTTCTGATTTATTTCGTTTCCTCAGGTTTTATGATTTAGCATATTAATCATGTGGAGAAGTCTTTTAAGTGATAAAGAAAAGACTCTTTTTAGAGATTTATTCCATCTCTGTTCAACTTTATTTTTTAACAATTTAAGTTTATTGTCAAGGTGATAAACAGAGGGGTTACAACTGTAACCCTTACATAAGTAAGGTAATGAGTACATATCTTTTCAAACATTGCTAACCCCTCCCTTGTTCTTTTCCAACTTTTCCTCCCCCACACCCACCCAAGTTGCAAAGTTCATTTCTAGCAGTGTCTTGTGAGTATTGCAGTTGCATTGGCTCACCCTTTGTCCTTTGCCTCACCATTTTGTTGTTCTCTTAAGTTTAGTTTTTCTTGTTATCTCTGGAAATGAAAAAAAATCTATAATGTAGCCGACAATGCACTGGCCTTCTTGGGCTGTTTGTTTCCTGTATGTCCAGGAAACCACAAGATAAAGAAGAGAGAGAGAGGAAAGAGAGAGGAGGAAGAGAGAGGGGGAGAAATAGAGGCAATGAAGAGATAGATCTTATGACTTAGGTTATCACAAATTTGAATCTTAAACCTGCTGTGTGTATATGCCCTACACCTTCTGTTTCTTTTGTTCTCAGATCATTGGAAAAGTCTTTATAGCCAGAAATATTGCTGTCCTTTTCTGTATCTGTCTTATCTGTGTCAGCAAATAGGACATAAAGATTTAATTATTCTACTTGCAAAATCCACATGAAGGCCAATTTCTGTTGTAAGCTTTAGCCTAGTTGTTCAGTGTGCTCTTCTGAGCTGTGTTCAGTAACTCTGATAGCAATGTCTTCCTTGTGAAATACCTTCTGAAAGTTACTTCTCAGTTATTTCTCCCTAAGCTAATGATGGTCATACCACTTCCCTCTGTAACCACTCTCAGTGATTACCTCTTGTATTAGTAAAATATTCTAACCTTTGACCAGGGCAAAGATGACACAACTCCACTGGAAAAACTCACATTCCTAAGCTTTTATCTACCATGTTCCTTTCATATTGATCATATCACCATGTTTGTAATAAGCCCAGGTTTACTTGACTTTGTGCATTTGAACAAGTTGCTTTGTTGACTAGAATGTTTTTCCTCATGTCTAGTCTGGCAGCACACATACTAAAACTGGAACAATATAGAGAGACTAAAATGGTCCTTGTACAAAGATGACATACACAATCATGAAGCTTCTGTATTCTTAAGTGAAATAAGCCAGTTTCCAGGATACAAGCGTCTTGCGTTTCCTCTTATACTTTGAATTTAGAGCGAAAAATAAAGAATTTTAACATAAAAAGACATTAATAAGTATATGGAAGAAGAAAAGTGAGTGAGACAAGGAAAATGGGGCAGGGAACTGAATATGGTCACTATCAATTCTATGCACGCATTCAAATGTCATATGATTACGTTGTGCAATTAACATGTGCTAAAAAGTAAAAATATCTTTGCTTCTTTAGCTGAATAATACATCAAGTTCCTATAAAATCAGGGCATTGGTTCTAATTTACTAGTATTTTTCCCTATTTACCCTCCCCACTGTGTATCTAGTGTGTTCATATGTATGCCTTTGTGGTAGCCCTGGGAGGGTTCCTAGGGAAGCTGTCTCTAGTTGACTCCAATATATGGAAAGGCTCAAGTACTCACTCAAGAGATAAGCAGAATGTACATGAGATGTTTCTACAACAACATTAGATGATGACATCAGTAATGAAAGAGACACCAACGCGATGAAAATGAGAAGAGCAAAAGGCTTGTGGGATAACTACACATAGTTTTATTGGTCAGTTGAAGATAGGTAAGTGGAATTGTACTATATTTTCTGACACCGAGATTTTTGATATGCTTGAATCAAAACAACGTAAAAATAAAATAGTATAAAGTATCCTTAGCTTATGCTAAACTATTGCCTCACTGTCCTGCGGTATTTGCTTCTTTAAAGGTACTACCTATTGCCAATTATTTTCCAGCTAGTTGGAAAACAAATGATCATTTTACCAATAAAATACAATTTCCATTTTGCTGTAGAGTCAACCACCATTGGTGATAAATGCATTACATTTTACCAAACAGAAGATATGTGGCATGAATTATGATAGAGAATGAGAAGGAGGAACTCTGTAATATTAATGATTTTGTAAACAAACTTCCTTGTCCAATGCCAGCTTTTCCTCTTCCTCTGCTACCTGGGAAGATTACTTAGTTTCTCTGAAACTTGTAACTGAATTTGACTCGAGGAGATTGAATGAGTTAATCTATGTAAATATTAATCTATGTCCCAGAGCAGTGCTTGTTCTATTGTAATCACCATGCAATTGCATGTTGTAATTACCAATTATCCCCAAAATTCCTTATACCAAAAGAAATTCCCATATCATTTCCTTCTCCTGTTCCTTTATTCTCATTTAATCACTAGACTTTCTTAGTCTTTCATTCATGAATATTCCTGAAGAGCTGGGCATCCGTGACTCACGCCTGTAATCCTAGTTACTCAGGAGGCTGAGATCTGTGGATCACGGTTCAAAGCCAGCCCCAGCAGGAAACTCTGTGAAACTCTTATCTCCAATAAACCACTAGAAAACCGGAAGTGGTGCAGTGGCTCAAGTGGTAGAGCGCTTGCCTTGAGGTGAAGAGCCCAAGGAAAGCGCCCAGGCCCAGAGTTCAAGCCCACGACCGACAGAAAAAAAAAATTCCTGAAGAATGAGGTGCCATTTTATTGTGGAATGTTCATCCACCTGAAAATATCTAATACTTGTTCACAGTTAGACTTGGCTCTGTTCTCAGCAAAGGGTTCATCTTCCCTTTGTAGGGAGTTTTGAAGCTGAGATGGCATCTCAGGTTTCCTTGGTTGGTTGAAGGGACTGTAATATTACATAGTCACTGCCGCCAATTCTTGCCATTTGAATGGGCTGTTCTAGAGGTGAGTGTAACTCAGGAAATCCTTTTTCACAAAAGTCAGGGTCCAGAGGGTTGACAGCTGAGGCCTTTCCATTCTCACACTGCAGTAACTGGGTAGAGAATCCTTCAGTTTTGAGGAGCAGCTGAGAGGTACAGCATAATTTCACTGTGTAGATAGTGAGAGTTGAAGAATAGGTAGGAGAAAAATGAGGGGGGGGGGGTAACAATGTTCAATAAGAAAAGTACTCACTACCTTACATATGTAACTGTAACCCTCTGTACATCACCTTGACAATAAAATTAAATTAAAAAAACTGTATTCTGCCTTTATATCAAGTCTTAAGTCAAATAGTATTATATACCATCTCAGGCACTATAAGTTCAGATTTTTTTTATTATATTTGGGGTGTGAATATTGTTAATGGAATAAGGAGGGTATCCTGTAATCTTTGGCCATATTCATAATGATTTTTTAAAATTTTATTTTATTGTAAAGATGCTGTACATGTGTTACAGTTACATGAGTAAGGTAATGAGTTGAACATTGTTACCCCCTCCTTTGCTTTTCTCCAACTGTCACTTCTATCTCCCACCTCCTTAACTCCTCTCCCAGCAGAAGTTGTAAAGTTTGTTTCCAAAGTAGTGTCTTGTGAGTCTCATTGTTGCAACGGGTCATCCTTGTTTCAACATTTTGTTATTCCCCTCCACATCCCCCAATTAGATAAATGTGTATACAACATGCAGGGTACCAAAATAAAATACAGTGACAATAGGGGATATACCATAGGGGAAAGAACATACAAAAGAAACAAAAATCACATAATACATTAAAAACAACGGCAAAGCAAAACTTCTTATGTCCATATCTTGGGGTTCATTCTTATATGGTCATATGTACATAGATTTTGAGCTTTTCTGCTCATCTGATAAGATTATACTAGATGGATACTAATTATTGCAAATAAGGGAAACCATGGGACCTATATTTCTTTGGCTCTGCCTTACCTCACTTAATATGATTTTTGAAATAAGTATTTTATTGTGAAAATATTGTACAGAGGGGTTATAATTACATGAGCAAGGTAATGAGTACATTTCTTATCAAGTATTGTTGCCTCCTCCTTTTCTTTTCCCCTACCATACCTTCCCTCCCATCTCCGCAACTACACTCCCCCCCCCCCCCACCAAATTGTAAAGTTCATTTTTCAACCTAGTGTCTTGTACATGTCATGGTTGCAAAGGGGCAACTTGTATCCCGATTTAAACAATTGTTTTTTTCCTTCCCTTCCACAGAGTATACCAACATCAAATAACAGTGAAAACAGGGGTTATACCATGGGGGAGGGACATACAAACCAACAAAAATATCATGTGGTACCTTATAAATATGTTAGAAACAATAGCAAGAAAGAAAAAACCACTGTTTCCTTATCTTGGGTTTCATTTCATTTAACATCATCTTATCTGACCTTTTCTGCTTGTCTCAGACATATACTAGTTATTGCACATAAGGGAAACCATGGAACCTATGTTTCTTTGGGCCTGGCTTACTTCACTTAATATGATTTTTTCCAAGTCTTTCCATTTCCTAACAAATGGGGCAGTCATTCTTTCTGATGGAGGCATAGAATTCCATTGTGTATCCACTGTGTATATATAGCACATTTTCTTGATCAAATCATCTACTGAGGGGCATCTGGGTTGGTACCATATCTTAACTATGTTTAATAAACATAGTTGTGCTTGTAGCTTCAGTATGGTCTTGTTTGATTTTTTCCAAGTCTTTCCATTTCATAAAAAATGGGATAGTGTCATTTGTTCTGATGGAAGCATAGAATTCAAAATTGATTGTGGTGCAAGGTGATATATAAGGATTTAACATTAGTTTTCAACAGGTGTTTAACCAATTTTGCCAGCATCATTTACTGAAAAGGCTGTCTTTCTTCCATTCTATGTTTTTGGCTCCCTTATTGAAGATTAGGTGGCTATAGGTCTGCAGGTTAATTGTAATGACTTTTAAGAAAGAAATGAAAAAAATTCAAAGAAATTTTTCATAAGTATTAATATTTCTTTTATTTATTCACTGTGTATTTTATATTACCTTTAAGTAGTTGTACAAAGGAGTTACCATTCAACATATCAGTTTATAAGTGCAATGCATTTTGTTCACTGTCACTTCTGTCATCATTTTTTCACATCCCTCCAAACCCTTCCTCTCCCTTCTAGAGTTAAAGGAAAGCACTGATGTCTTTAGTATTGTTACGCTTTTGTTTATACTCGAAATATTTCACAATAAATATTACAGCATCATAAAACCCATTTTAGCATTTTCTGGCCACAATAAATGATTCATGCTGACTTTTAAATAACATTTTTTAATTAGAAAACTAATTTGTGTTTATGGTAAGATATCAAATACACAGAGTTACATTTGATAAAAAATAATTCATTCCTCTGGGTTCTCAATGTCCCTCCCCAGATATAATGCTTCTTTAAAATGTCCAGAAATGTTCTGTGTATTTCACAAGACAATTGTATTATTCCATGTCTTATTTTTTTAGCGGACAAAAAGGATTTGCCTAAATGTTAATAAATCCTTTATTTAAAAAATAATTAATATTTTTATTATTTAATAAAAACATTATCATTGAATATACTTGTTTTATCAACATTTCCATATATAACTCATTTTTTTCAAATATCAGCTTAATACTTCATTGAATAGCTGCATTATTATCTTTAACTGTTTCCTACTTGCTACTTTTTCCTATCTCTAAATCCTTAATTTAAGATTTTGATTTATATATAACAACATGTGAATATATTGTTGGTGTTACCCAAGTTCAATTAAGAAGAAATTATTTGTTTCCTGTGAGAATAGGCAACAAAAGAAAAATGATACCTTCAGCTCGAAGTCATCTCATGAATTACCATTACTTCTTCAATTATAGTCTGCTTTCTTCATCTTATTTAATCCCATTATTTCTCAGCTTTTATGAAATACATTTCTATGTATTAAAAATCCAAGAACTATGCATTTGTGTGCTTCAAAACTGGGTGAGATTGAGAAATCTGAGGATGGGTTGGTAGAAACAAATATGATAATCCCAAGGATCCAAACTTATCACCATAAATACCTCAATGATATTTTCTTGGAAGCATCTTCACAGAGAAGTTACATAATTTTAGGTTTCTTGAGTATCTTCAGACCTACTTAGACACTTTACAGCAATTCTAGAAAATCTTTGCTATACATAAAAACATTGTCTTTGTCTGGATCTTTCTGGATATTTCCATCCATTTTGG